AAAAAAAAAAAAAAAGAAAAGGGAAAAAAAAAAAAATTCAAAATCCCTGTTTTTTTCTCCAGTTTTTTAACTTTTTGACTAACTCTTGCTTTGTGTTTTGGTTTCATATTCGTTTGTTTTGGTCTGCTGGCCGTGCTATTACTGTCAAATCATATGATCTTTAGTGTATCTTGGTAAGAGCTTTACATTCTGGCAATAAACGATTAGTTAATTATATTGTCCATGTGGAAATGTTGAATTTTTTGAGCATTTATGATTTACAACTGGTAACAAATATTTCAGGTGGATATGATATGGAAGAAAAAGCCGCGCGAGCATATGATCTTGCTGCGCTCAAGTATTGGGGCCCTTCCACCCATATCAACTTTGAGGTATTTGTCAATCTTTTTTTCTTGACCCATCATATGTAGATTATTTTTTATTTTTGTTATCTCGGAATTTATGTACTTAAATTTTTTGTATGGCGTTCGGATTTTTCAGTTGGAGAACTACCATCAAGAACTCGAAGAAATGAAAAACATGAACAGACAAGAATTTGTCGCCCATTTGAGAAGGTGATTGTTACATAATGAAAAGAAATTACTTTATTCATATTCTGATTTATTCTTACATTCACTTCCATTTTGGGTTTTTTTTTTTCATTTTCAGGAAAAGTAGTGGATTCTCCAGAGGAGCTTCAATATACAGAGGCGTCACAAGGTGCGTAAGAAAGTCGAACTCGATTTTCCCTTTCGTTTAACCCATTAGTGACTTATACAGATAATAAATGTGTACAATTATTAATATGCAGGCATCATCAACATGGGAGATGGCAGGCTAGGATTGGTCGTGTCGCGGGCAATAAAGATCTTTACTTAGGAACTTTCAGTAAGTTTTGTTTTCACTGCGCATTTACGTGAATGATATCGAATGTCAGTGTTCTTAGTCCTTACCATGTTTGATGAGGGTCAAATTATTGGATATTTGTTCGAACTTGACTAACATAGTGGATGAAAATTGAAATTTTGCCGCGAATGGCATGTCAAATTATGTGGATCCTCCATAGCTTTAGTTAAGCTCTTTTGCTTCCACTTTTTCGGATCCAATAGTGTGGACATTGGTCACATTGCTTTTGTAAGGCTGATCAATAATCATGCACTAACTTTGACTGTACCACCCCAATTCTTTTTTTGTGGGGACTTTGAAAAAAACTTTCCTTAAAGCTGATTTCAATTCCATTTAACAAAATCATCATACATGCAAACAAATTAAAACAAAACGAAATTCAATCTTAGTTTGCATTGAACAAATATGTATTCAGGCACACAAGAAGAGGCAGCCGAAGCTTACGACGTAGCTGCAATCAAGTTCCGAGGGCCAAATGCAGTCACCAACTTTGACATCTCGAGATACAATGTCGACAAGATCATGGCCAGTAATACTCTGCCAGCTGGCGATGTTTCCAGACGAACTAATAATAATAATATTAATAATAATAGTAATGATAATAGTATTGAGAAGCCTAATGTAGGTGGCGAGTGGAAAATGGTCCCTAGTAATAGTGTTGATGGAAAGGTCGAAAATGTAAATTATGGTCAAAATAATCCAACGTTCTCGGGAGCACTGCATGATCTGATCAGTATGAATCCATGCCGAAAGTTTGTGGATGAGTCGAGTGCTAATGCTAATCTGTCGTCTATAGTGACAAGCTTGAGTAGCACTAGAGAAGGCAGCCTGGAGAAGTTTGGTGGCGGGTCTCGTTTATTGTTAACCAAGCCAAGTGGTGGTGCGATTGGCTCGTGGATTAATTCAATCGCCCCACTCACAACGGCTCACTTGCCGGTTTTTACTGCATGGAATGACACCTAAACTCTTTGCGGTGAACTCTTTTAGACTTGTGCTTTTGGATGTATTGGGAAGAAATTTTGAAAAAATGTGGGATTTTGCTAAGCTAGATCATTAATATTATTACTATTATTGTTGTGTTTTTTTTTGTAAATAGATGGAGGGACAATATATGGGTACGAAGCATCTGCTTTTAAAATTACAATCGAGTCCTTACCTAAAAAAGAGGAAAAAAAACAAGAAAAATGTTCATCGATAAAATTATTGTTAGACATCAGTTTTACATTTTCAACAAATATGTATATTTTCATATTGAATGCAATACTCTATGAGGTAAGGTAATAAAAGTATGATATTTTTGTTAAAAGTATATGATTGGTCAAACTGTCTAACGATTATGCGGTCTTACAAAAAAAGTTGTAAATAATCCTATTTTGAGCAAAATGGAGGGAATAGAATGTGGGAGGGCACCTCAATGATTACATTCTTGTGTATAATTGAATCTCCTTTATGTTCCTTTCCATTTGTTCCTATCAAGTACAAAAGATTGCAAGCTCGTGTTTGCCAATAATGAAAAGGGGCTAAAATGTTTATTTGACCACCATTTTAATTCACATCTCATCACCTTAAAGATATATTACACAATCATATGAACATTCTCCTTTTTCCTCCCATATTTCGAAAAAAGGAGTTGAAGGAGATTCCTTTATTACAATTCTCTTTAGTGGGAATGCTTTTGAATTTATGGGCATGATTAATAGTTTACACAATTACACTTGTCTCCTGTGCTTATGTAGACCAGTTTTTGCTTTAAACGTTCATCACCCGGTCAATCCTGATAAGTAGGACCTGGAAAGCAAATTTATGTCCGCATTTGGCATTTTTATTCTTCAATTACTATTGTGGGTATGTAAAAATTTTAAGAAATTATATCCAATTGTAAGTAATAGTAACTACTAGTACGTTACTTGTGTACGGGGTGTTTTGGAAAAAAAATAAGTAAATAAATGAATTTGTATAATAAAATTGGATAAACAAAAGTGTTTATTTTCTTATTACAAAATCATAAAAATAGATACACAACAAATAATAAATAGCCACATTAGAGTAATAATTATTTAAATTACACATATTTTTACCATCAAATTGTAAAAAATGATATCATTTAAGTACTTATAAAATTATGCATGTCTAAAACACCATAATATTTACAAATTTAATTTTATCCTTTTGTAAATTCTTCCCAAACATGATGATGTGTGATATGAATGTCAACAAAAAATAGGCAAAAATTAAAATTTGATAAATCATATTTGAATATGAAGTATAAAAAAGTTATTGACTTTTAAAATATGATAAAAAATAATTTTGGTAATTAATAAATAAATAAATGAGAATAAATAATATCAGTTTTCTATAATAAGATTTGACTAGTATTCGATCCTATGCATATGCACAAATGTTTAAATTATTATAAGTTATATGTATGTATATAATATTAAAATCATAAGTTAGATAATAGTATCACATTTTAAAAATTTTGTCATTAGTAAATATGGACATTATAAAAGTTTTCAATTTTATCACTATATTGATTGTATAAAATAAAATGGATAATGTAGTTTATATAAATTTGAGTGATCCTGGCCTATTAGTTATCTTAGATATTGTTAGTATTATTGGTGAATTTTTAAGAGACTTGATTATACTACTAAAGCCAATTAACTTATAAAAAAAATGGTTAAGAGCCATAAAAAGTTTAAGAGAAATTTTGCATTATAATTTTTTTTATACTTATTGAACTTTGATATACATTAATGTGCATCCCAATTTCTTCCTGAAGCCGATCCCCAATTTCTTCGCTCCCTCCGATCCCTAATCTGAAAAATCGTTGCCTTCCTCTCGGCATTCCGCCGTGCCGGTAGCCGAACCCTCGCTGCCCGGCCCTTCCTGATGCCGCGACCCTTCTCGCCACGGGTGCTGGTAGCTTACGAGGTCGCCAAATTTATTTTTGCTTTTTCCGGCAACTGGATTTGGGTTCGCGATCTCCGGCCTACTCGGTGCAGTGGCGGGTCCAAGGGCCGCGGTGCGATGGATTAGGGTTGGGTACGGCTCTGGCTGTTCGTCATCTGGGGTCTGAGCGTCGTTGACTTCTACGGTGGCCTCTCTCCGTACTCTCCTTCGACGGCTCTGATGGATTTTTTTGGTTCGTCTTGCTGGTCGCCGAGGTGGGGTCTGCCAGTCTGCAATGTCCCTTTTCGCCGGCGGAATGGTGGTTGTAGGCGGCGGTCTTTTTAGTTGAGGACTGGTCGGAATTGGTTTCGCCGGTCTCGATTAAGATTTTGTCTCCTCTTCTTGCCGTTGTTGTCTCGGTTTTCTTTTGCCTACAATTGGCGGTACGCGGTGCTCCGAATGTTGACAAAGCTCTGTGGCTGAGGCTCAATGTGGGGAGGCAGAGGTTGGTGTGTGCGTTCGGGGTTGGGTTCTTCGGTGGTTATGGCGTCTTGTGACTTCAAGATGGTGGGGCTAGGGCTGGAGCATCGAGTCAACTTCTATTTCCCTGAATCATTGGGTTCGGGGGTGCTCACTGTTCTTCCGGAGTCCACTAGTGGTGTTAAGGGGCTCGGTTTGGCGGTGTGGGAAGCTTTCTTGGTGTTTTTTGGCTTTGGGAGAATTGACTTCGGGTGGGATTCGTGGTAGGAGTTTCGATTCAACTAGGCAGTATGGCAGTGGAAGGGTCGCTCTTCTCTTGCTGTGGATCCCTCTAGGTTGATTTGGTGGTTGCTAGTGTGGTTAGGTTTTCGCTGAAGAGGGAGGGCTTGTGTGTTTTTATTGTCTTTTCTGTGTTTTTTGTGTGTTTTGTCGAGTCTGTGTTAGGTGTGTTCGTTCTTTTGTTTTTGTTTGGGAGATGAATTCAGGCTAGGCATTGTGCAGTGGCTCTGATTTTCATTTTCTTTTTTCGTTTGGTTGAGTTCTCTAGGCCGCCATGTGCGTGTCCTCTCAGTTTGTTATTTCTGTTGTTTTTTAGGAGTGTTTTTGGTTTGGGCTGTTGGCCCCTGTCTCATTACCCTGTTGGGGCCGTAGATATTACCC